TTTGAATTATGGGGTTAAGAGAATATATGCATTAAAAAACATTGTTAAATTGTCTTTCACAAAGATTGCAAACCATGATCTTTCCAATGTTTGTCAATTTGTTAGGTGAAAAATGGTTATTTCATGGCTTCAACTTATATTTCCCTTGTCATTAATGTGCCATTAACACACTTCTGCTTTTAGCCATTTGCATCTTTTTGTATTTATTTAGCTCTGCTGAATAATTGTATGTGGAAAATTTTCATATTCTCAGAATAGTAATTCATTTTCTTTTAAACATGGTGTGGAAATTTTCTCTTTGGAGTTTCTTTTAACTTTATGATGGCTTTGATATGCAGCTTACTTTTTAATTCCAAACCACCAACGTTCCTGTTAAAATTGGGAAAAGTTTCCTAAGCTAAAGTTAGTAAATATCTCCCTTCATATTTTCTATCAGTACTTTTAGTTTCATAATTAACATTTTATCTTTAATCTATCTGGAATATATTTTTATAGCTTAGGGTAGGAATTTAATTTAAAAAAAATGCATACAGGGGTGCTGGTCTGGCTCAGTTGGAGAAGCATGTGACTCTTGATCCTGGAGTCGTGAGTTTGAGCCCCATAATGGGTGTAGAGATTTTTTAAAAAAAATAAACTTTGGGACGCCTGGGCGGCTCAAGTTGGTTAATTGTCTGCCGTTACTCAGGTCATGATCCCGGGATCCTAAGATCGAGCCCCGCGTTGGGCTCCCTGCTCCGCCAGGAGTCTGCTTGTCCCTCTCCCTCTGCCCTGCTCGTGTTCTCTCTCTCTCAAATAAATAAAAAAATAAACTTTAACTTCAAAAAAAAATTAAAAATGCATACTCAAATAGTTCACTATTAATTTTTTTATTAGTGAATTATTTTCAATTTGAAAAGTCACATTCACCATACATTAAACTTTTGTTTCTGGTCGTGCACTTGTAATTCTGTTTCATTGTTCATTGTTCAGTCCTATTTTATACTTTTGAGTATATATTGAGAAATCATGTAAAAGGAAGAATACTCCCTGTCCTTTGTTTTTTAAAAATAATTCTTGGTTATTTTTGAGAATTATTCTACCATGTAAACTTTTTAAAATCAGGGTTTCATGTTCCATTACAATTTTATCAGAATTTTAATTATGATTTGTATTGACTTTACGTATTAACTTGAAAAGTGAAGTTTCCATAGTGTTGAGTCAATCTAGAAATACAGCATATTCTTCTAGTTGGTTCTTTGTCTTTTTGTAAATTTTTATAAATTTTTCTCCATTTGACTCACTCCTTTCTGTTGTTAGTTTATTTCCAGGTATTTAGTACTCTTTCTTAATATTAGGGGTTCTCTCCCATAAAGCACTATTTAAAACTTTTCTTATGAAATTAATATTTACATATAACTGGGAACAGTGGAGTAAAAGTATATAATACTACCACTCTATTATAAGCATTTATTATTTTGGAACATGGTGTGGAAATTTTCTCTTTGGAGTCTCTTTGGCGTTTTCTTCTAGACACAGTATGATCAACAAACAAAATTTTTAACCACATTGCAATCCTTTAATTCAGAAATGTAATAGACTGCCCATGAAACATACATGCAATTTGGCTATCAATGATACATTTGTATTTGTTAAAAATAAGTCCACCAAACTTGGTCTTTTTTTTTTTTTTT